AGGTGAATTTACCCTGAATGGTAAGTTGGCAAACTCCTGCCCGGCCTGGTTTCCACGGTACCCTCCCCTGTAGCCGCCGCCCTGCGGGGGTCCGAAGGAGCCCCGGCTGGCGGAGCGACCTCGACCTCCGCGGAAGCCCATGCCCCCGCGGCCGCCTCGGAAACCTCCGCGGCCTCGGCCGTGTCGCAGCGGGATGCCGAAGGTCTCTGCGTTCATCCTCCTCTCCTCGGCCCAGGTCTGCCTGCGCTCCCTGCAGGAGGAAGAGGAGGTGAGGAAGAGGAGGAACTCTTGAGTAATCCAAGCTAATCTGGTTAAAGTCTCACTGAGTTTAATCCTAATCTGAAAACAGATTCAGTCACATGACCTCAGAAACACTCACCGTGGGAAACCGGAGCCTCCGGACTTCTCGTTTGCTTTTCTGAAAACAGAAACCTCAGATCAGAACCACGGGTTTAATACCAGAACCTTGACTGGACCTCCTGCCAAAGGTTAAAGAGCCTGAGACAGGCGTGTCCTTCAAACACAAAAAGTCAAAGAAAACATCTTTAAACTGGCATAAAACACGATTTTACCTGTTTGTCCCAAAACTGCATATTTTCTTTTGAATTTGGCTCAAATTGAAACAGGAAGTGATTATTACAAAAATCTGATGTCACAGACAAGTTCAGAACAAACATGAGACTCGTGTGGACCTGTATGGACTTGTGTGGACCTGTATGGACTCGTGTGTAACTGTATGGACTCGTGTGTAACTGTATGGACTCGTGCGGACCTGTATGGACTCGTACCTCGTGTCGTCACAGGAGATGTTGTCGAAGAAGGACTTGGACTTGTCGTAGTAACAGTTGGGTCCGAGCGGGTCGCACTCGTCCGTGTTGCCCTCGCTGTTCTGAGTTTCTGCGGGGGCGTCCCCTTGGTTCTCGCCATTCAGGACCTTCTCCGACTTCTCGTCTGCGAGGGGACAGAAACATCTGAGCTCTGACCCCTGACCCCCAGGACCGCTCTGACCCCCAGGACCGATCTGACCCCCAGGACCGAGCCGGACCTCCTCACCAACCTTTCAGCTTCAGCTTGTTCTGGAACTCCTGGTCGATCTCCTTGTTGAACTGGGCGTTGGCGCTCTCGAAGTCGAAGTCCTTGTCGAACTTCATGGGTCCGTCCCGGCGCAGGTTGAAGCGCCCCCTGCCGCGGTGCCCGCCCCCTCGGCCGCGGCGGTTAGCTGCTCCCATGCTTCCTGCTGGCAACAAGAGGCGGAGTTAGCTTCTGGGTCTGCAGGTTTTATAAAAGGGACCCAGGATTAGTTGTAACATTAGACTTTTTTCATAAACATTTATTTTAACTGTAAAAATCCTGTAGGCTGTTCAGTTTTTATCATTTTTAAACTAAAAGTTTAAAAATATATTACACAGACGGAGCCATTTTATTTACAAGCAAAGCATTCTGGGTAAATGATGACATGGATAGGTCCAAAATTTGGAGTTTTAGGACCCACAGTGGGGTCTCAACCCTAATTTGCTGTAGATGAAACCTTAAAGTGCCTGTGACATCAATTTTTTATAAGAAATGAGAATACATTTTTGGAAAGACAACATTAATAACATATGAAACAAATTTCACGTTGCTCAGATGAGATATTTGCATGTGAAGAAACAGGAAGTGATGTCAAAGAGGAATGTCTGAATGTGAACATTTAAAAAAATGTTACCAATTATTTTAATATTTGAGACAAATTACAATCATCCTATTTACAACGTGCTAACATTTTTTAAGACTTTTGACAGATTGATTTAAGACATTTTAAGGCTAATTAAGGCCTTATTTTTGGATCGATGAACTCAATGCTTTTTAAAGATCTGTAGGAACCCTGTTGTTAAAACATATTTTTAAAAAATTAGTTTTAAAAATGATAAAAATTAAACATCCTACAGTATTTTTATAGTCTTTATTTTACAGTTAAAATA